GTCACATTTCATGATGAACGTTGCATGGTCTTAGGCGACTACTGTATATATATATATATATATATATATATTGAGTGTATCGTCTCCTCTTCTCCTCTTTCTCGATAACATATTTGGACCCCGAATCTTTAGGCATATCAATATATATATGTATATATTTTGCTGATTTATATATAAAGGGATCCGAAACCAACTAGTATTTATTCTACTATGCTCTTTTCCCTCTGCTAGGTCCCCGACTTAGGCCTTTCCCTCAGCGTATCACCAGCGGTCGCCTCCGAACCGCGTTCTCCCTCAAGACCCCCACTGCCCAGCCTCTCCAAATTCCGCGGTCGACGGTTTTCTGGCTCTTCACAGCGTCGCAAATCGTTCTCAGCGCGGACGTCGCAGGCTAGTCGGAAAGTCTCCTGCCAATCCGACAAAGGTAAGTTATTGTTACTGGCCGCAGTTAAGGTGATTTTGTACTAGTCCTTCAATTCAGTAATTTAAAGCTGATCTCAGTATGAAACGTCCTTCACAATCAAGGTTCGCAGTTTTTTCTGTGAGTGTTGGTTGTTTGATCTTATATGGTCAAGTGTTCGTTACGATGAGTTGTAAAAAAATTCTAAGTGAGACACCTTAGGTTTAATTCCCCTTTAGTCTCTTTCAGATTCGTTTTATACACTTTCTGAGTGCTGCTATGATTGTTAAAGAAATTCGCGAGAATTAAATCTTTAAACTGAAAAGCAGGCATCCCAAGAAATGTAATTTCATGGAAAAGCATCCTTTGGGAAAGGATGCCTTTCCATGAAATTGAATCTTTGCTGATAAAAGAGAGCAGACGACTCCTATAAAATAGTTCAGCAGAAGCAGATTTGATCGCTGAAACATGACGTCTATTGGCCTAACGTTTCAGATTCTTACTCGGAGCCATCATCAGAGACAGTCGCAGCGAAGTTCGGTGAGGACGCCAGGGATGCAGTAGTTATAGGACACAGTTGCTATGCAGCCACTTTCCTAATCTAATTAGCCGATCCCGCATTCATCACTGTTTGGTCGCACATTACGTGTTGCTTGGTGGTTAGTCCGCGTCCGAGTAGTTAGATGTAGACATTTTACCACGATTCTCGATTCTTGGTATTGTAACGACTTCAGTCGAGTTTCTTTGGTCCACAGTCGTTTACCGAACGCAATGACTTCGCGGCTTCATGTTCTATGATGCACAGAAAGATTAGTTAGCCAAGACTAAATGTTCCAGTGACAGCGAGCCACACTGCTGAGTCATCATCACGATTACTCAAATTCTCAGAGTGCGTCGACTCTTTTATTAGGCTTGCCTTGTTATTAATTACGGTACGGAAAAAGTTCGTTATTATTTTAGTAGTCACTTTCGCAGGTGGGATTTACAGGTAGCCAAAAAAGACCTACAGTAGACCTGCTCATTCGAGAAATGTTAACCAAAATTCTGAAATACGTCTTTGATGTGAATAATAACCAACATTTTAATCACGTCTACATTTCGCTCCCTGGATGAGCTTTTTTCGGTCAGCTGCACACTCTGGATTCTCTAAAAAGGACATTAACATAAATCTTGTTTATTGATTTCTGAAGCTGAGAGGAATTCAATTATATGTTATTGAAATAAATGCGCAAAAATATTATTTTTTTACTCATTTCATAGAAAATTACGTCTTCTTAAAAAAAAGTATACTCAAAGAAAAGATATTTTTGGTTTTGTAAATGTTTCTTACTATGAGATTTTAAGGACTTAAATATCTATTCATAAACCATCTTCTTTTTCCATCTGTTAATGCTCCTTGCAAGTTAAGCACATCAAAAAGATTTATTACCCCATACGCCATTTATTTAATAGGTAAAGAAATTCCGGATTTTAATACACGGAATGTGTATCGCTTGCAGTTTGGAAACCCTGGATGCATGTGTAACAGCAGGTCGGACTCGAAAATATTCACGAATTAAAAGTGATTTTAGAAACCAAAGCTAGCTTGTCTTAGAGTGAAAATTTCGGAGAAGACTTAATCCTCTATCAAGGACGTATAAGCGAGAATATTTTTAAGCATATTATGTATATGATATAATTGAATTTGTAAGAGTTTCCAAAATTAATGTGTGAAAAGCATGCGACTTAAGTAGCTATTCTTTACAGATCGTAGAGCTTTCAGCCGGCCAATAAGAAGCTCAATTAAGAGCCGGCATACTCATGTGACTGAGGACAATGCTGCCTAATAATGCTTATTACACCTTAAAACCATTTTAGCATTTCGGTTAAAATTTCATTAGCGTATATGAGCTCAGCCTCCTCGACCACTGTATCCCCATCCATTTTCGGCCGAAAAGACTTTAAAACTGGACGGAAATGAAGAAGAATGAAGTGAGTTAGTTTCAGCTCATGTCCGATTTCCCATATTCGAATTCACCTAAAGTCATTACCGCGTCGTCCGGTGACATACTAGCGTTCGTCGCATGCTAGTACGGTAAATTGTCTACTTAATGAAATGTCGTGATATACGCAAGAAAATCCATCTTGCACTAACCCAGCGCGTGTGGCGGCCCTTTATGTTTTACAGCAGTAAATTAAGTACCATAAGTAACAGAATATATAAGTTGGTTGATAAATTACTGTTTACTAACATAAAAATAGTTAATTTCTACGAGAAACTCGAAATTCGGATAATGGCTATATTACAGTTCATTGATTTTATAATAAATATAAACTGTATTGAGGCAGAGAAGCGCAAAAACGGGGAATAAATACGGAATAACTATACGTACAAAATGTTAGCACTTTGTTGATTGTCTACGTAGATTTAAAAGAGCATTAAGTCTGTCAGACATAGAGATAGTTAGGTTGTCTATAGTGGTTTGCTCAATGTGATTATGCAGCACAGAGTCCAGTTTTTGTTGCGTGAAAAGATTCTTCTTTGCCTCGTGCCAATTTCTTTTGATAATTGCAAAAGGATTTTCTATAGCAGTGAGATCCGAGCTGTTGGCAGGAATAAAAATAGATTGCAGGCTGGATGTACTCTGAAAAGTTATATTACATTTGTACATGCTATCAAATTCATATAATCTGGTGTAAATTGGTATAAGTTTCCTTCCGCCACATTTCTTGCAATTATTTTGAGAGTTCGATTACGATAAGGTTTAGGTCGTTCTTTAAATGCTGGTTAACACTAAGATTTTCAACGTTTCAGTCGATTGTCCATAAATGCAGACGTTTGGTTTGGCCCGCGTTGGTCCACTACTTCCTTCAATATATTGCTTTGAATTGAACAGCATTTTGCGCCTCAAGTCAAGTCAATGAAAAAAATAAACAACCTCAAATGTGTGTTAAGCACCCCTTAATTTTCGATCACATTTTATGAGTTAGTCTACTGTAGGTTTCAGCGATACTTGAATTTTTAGCACATTGCTCACTACGGCGATATCTCGAAGAATGATTTTTGGGTTGGTAGTTCACGGAGTTCAGGCCGTCTTACAGAATCACATAAAGGATATCATTCCAGAAGGATGGAGATGAGAACACTGGGACAAAGGTTGCGACTTATAAATTTGGCATTCGGATACTTTCACAGTTACAGGAAACGCATCATAGTTGGATGTTGGCAGCCCACATTTATTCGTCTTTTTCTCTCCAGAATTCTTTTTTGCCCTCGAAATCAATTTGTGCAGATGCAAGGCTGAGAGGGGTGTAAGAGTGAGAGAAGTATTATCTCCTCCGATGCACAAATAGTTTCCTACTATTTTAACAGACACCGGCACAGGACCGTATACCTTCTCAGTGACTCGTTATTCGTAATGCCGGTCTGTCCTAAAAACTCATGTACTATGTATAGCATAAGAAGCGCCGTGGTTTAGATTATTAAAAAAACGTCATTAACCAAACTTAGAAGTGAGAACTTCCGCCAAGGCCCGGCAGCCCTCCCCCAGACTTGACCGCAGCTTAGTCACGGTCGCGCTCGCGCTCGCAGACAACACTATTTTACGCGCATCGGCCAGCCTTCCTTGTCAACCATAGGCCTAGAACCTGCGCCTTGACCTAACCAAGCACATGCTCAACACGCAAACACCCACGCCCGCCTACTGGCACGAACAAAGACAAGCGCGTAAATACCACACTACTGTTTGCACGCTCCCGCGCGGACGCATTGTTCAGATACGCAAGCAAAACCGCCACGACAACCTGCCTTGTGTATCGAATAAGCCGCTCCTAACACCTGATAGACTTTTTCCATTAGATGGAATCATCTTGATGTTTGTGTTTACATTAGATCGTTCATCCATGGCCGCAACACTTTCCAGTGCTGAGCCTGATCTTGTTTTTGGTTGTTCCATTCCCGTTTGCAAAAAGTCTCACGATGTCTTCCTGATGGAACAACCTCTAGCGCCACGATCACCGAGCAATATGCACGAAGTTGTCTTCACACAGGGTTGTTTCAAACACAGGTCGGCGTCTACTGCTCTGCTCAGCTTGTCATTGTAGACGTTTGCTTTTTGGCAGGAGATATGATCGCTGGAACAGTACTTTCATTCACCTGGTGGATCTGGTGCAAGTACCGACGTAGCAACTACGTCGGAGAAACTGGAAGACTTCTCAAGACACAAATTGCCGAACACGCGGCAACAGCGCAGTGAAATGATGCCAATTTTTAAGTCGCGGCTCTATTGAGGAGACCTAGCCACACGTTCATATTTGATGAGGTCGATATTCTCGCGAGAAATGGCAATCGTGTGAGTCGTGAAGTACTTGAGTCATGGTTTACGAGCCCCCACTCTATAAACCAGTGCAACGAATTGCCCAATCTATATTCGATGCTGAGACTCAATTTGGCTAAGGTACGTCACCACTTGAGGAACGCACAAGCCGGAGCGTCATCTTAACGCCAGCGCCATGGAACCAGGTGGCCGAACAATCCGCACGTTCAATTCCACCAAGTCTGATAAAAGTTCAGCGGGTCACGGTCCGCAGGCCAGCCATTCTAAACACATTCTATAAATACTGCAACTCTCAGTGTATGAACTACCCATTTGTGCTATTTCCTCTGCCTTCGATGAAGGATTCGCGACTGATTTCAAAATGTCAGAAGAATAAAAATCTTGACCCAGCGATCGCATCGCCTACTTCTAAATTACTTCCTGGGGATCTTATCTTCACTTGTATTGGGGATTCGCTTTTCAGTTTGGTAAATAATTATGTAGGTTATAATACTGTGTACCTGCTGACAGTTTAGGAATATTACGCGGCTACTCCGCAGAGGCTGACGGACTTCGGTCCAAATATTCGTATCAAATTTTGGCATGCGCCTATAGACCCTAGAATATGATGATTTATTCCAAGTTAGGAGACAATTTCTGAGGAAAGTAAAAACTGCAATTTGCCAATTGATTTTGAGGAACACGGGAAGGAGACCACCTACCAGGCTAAAAAGCCACTAAAGCAACCAGTGACACTATATTAGGGTAATAGGCGATGCCTTCGAAGACCCTACTAACAACAGTATATAAAATGGTCAAGTCAAAAATACATAAAGTAGATACGTTACTATAAAATAGGAAATAGCATATTCCCATGTACACATTTTTCTAACGCGAAATTTACGCATAGTCATCCTGATAATCATAGATAAAATCGTCAAATATCACATATAATCTTCATCAGTAAGAGTTTAAATGCGTCTGTCATGTTCGCCATTATGACGTCCTCGGGCAGACGGTTCCAGACACCGAAGACTCGTTGCACAAACGAATGGCTGTGGGCATTTGGGTGGGATACGGGTCCTCCGAGTTTGGGGGAAGTCCCACGCAAATTAGTTGACGTGGCGAATGATAAGAAGCCAGCAAAATGTAGGACACAGTCCGGATTCCTCACGAGCTATAGAACGTCCAGACAGCACTTATTTCTGGCTTGTGCTACTGACTACTTCGACTTTTTCTAGGAACCTGTGAGACCTTCCCTACTGTGTCGTTCTATAGCGCACCATGTGATCGTGGCAAACAACGAAGTTCAAAATGTGACCCGAAGAATGAGGCGCGGCTTGCCTGTGGGTTAGTTTATAGCGAGGCAGACTTACGCAGCATCTGCTGCACTCTCACTCATCTCCCCACCGTCACCGTCTTGTGGTGGCAAGACATTTTCAAGACTATCAAAATTAGGCACAGAGACAATGGAATGGCCCGTCTACGCGTCCTACGCACGATCTGGAGTTCACCGCGTGTGTCCGGTTTCTGAAAGAACGACTCGGGTCCCACATGAATCAAAATGCCAGTAAAGGGTGCGCATAAAATGGGCATTGCATTCTAACTTCCGGGCTTCCTATGAGGATCCAGTTATCCATCAGTTGGTAACCTTCGAAGAAACAGCACTTGTGACGTCTATACAAAGCCTATCAGTTGCGTACTCGAAAAAAGGAGGGAGTTCCGATAAGTTCAAGAGGTTGAAGTCTTGAAAGCAATTATGAGGGAGGAAAATCAGTGGCTGAAGAGTGGGGTTTGAACATTTTCAACTGCTCGTTTATCCACTCCCGTAAGGTGGTCCGCGACGCAGGTTGTTGATTTCTCACATGGCTGTAGGTCCTCGCAAAGATGTCGTGATAGTTTGTCGAAGTTAAAGGTTTAGCCTGACCGTGTTATGTGTTCCTGTTGCTTGTTGTACCACTCGTATTTATGTTGCTCTGAGGATCGCATTGAGGGGATTGCTTTACCTGAGACTGCAGCAGGTGCAGTGGATGCATAATATCTAGTGTCTCATTTGGTATATTTTTGAGTATTAACAATTCAAAATGGTAATAAGAGAGCGACTGACTGCTTTCAAGGCCGTTAGGCGCACGCAGACTCCGGAGGAACCGACGTTAGATACTGCTAACCTTAGAAGAGAATCGCTGGAAATTAAACCTGTAGGTTTGACTTTTCGTATTTTCACTCGAACTCGTCACCAGAGACAGTCGTAGGTAGGGCTAATAGACGCACATGGAGACGCATTTGTCATGCACACGGTCTGAAAAGTTCACAATGCTCGCTGGAACAGGATTGAATTCTTGTTGGCATTTCAAAGAGCTTTGTTTGATCTCCGTTTTGAACGATTGGTCGAACTTGTCGAACTTCGGCGGATTGGTTTCCTTTTTTGGTTATTCACCGTCTCAACCTTCGTATAGATGTTTGTGTAGCTTGACGGCCGTTGGTGTTGTGCATCGTCACCTCAGTGGAGGGTGCCGGTAAGCCTGCCTTCTCTTTCCGGGGGTTTGACGTGAGACCCTCTTTGCTCATTTTTCTCAAGTTCGACGTGGTCATCTTGTGCTGGTCATTATGCGTGTAATGACGATGGACTTATGACGTGTTTTTGGCTGAGATTATCGCTTCTTGAATTTCGAAGGTGTGGCCAGTCTCTCAAATATGTTTTGCAAGGTGTGATTTTGGGTCTGGCCTCCGAGCCGCCAGTATATGCTCATCTAAGTGGGTCCGCGATTTTCGTCCAGTTTCTCCAACGTACTTACAGTCCTCATCATTGCAACCTATATGGAATGCAAATGCAGTGGTTTCAACAGGGAGCGATCTGACCTTAGTTGCACCATATGGCGGTTAAACGACAGCAAGTATTCAACTCTCTTCCAGTGAGCAAGGTAAAGTTCTCCGATTTTCATCCCGGAGTTCTCACCTTTGCCAATTTGAATTTATGGCTCCCTCGGTCAGCCGTTTTAACTTTACAGAATCAGTTGGTCGATATCCTTCTGTGCAGTCAGGGTCCGTTAGACAAACGCCCACATAGAAATCTATAATCCTACATCAACGGCGATGCAACTAATTCAATCACACAATTAGTAGGATAGAACGAGGAAATGACGATTCTAGTCTAAAACTGAACCGTTAGCCAAGACGCTTTAGGCGCCCATCTTTCCACTTTCTCACGGTGCTTATGGCAATGGACAGTTCTACAAGTTACTAATGTTATCCCTGATGACGGGTTCAAGAGTAAAACCAAAACGTCAGGCAAATAAAGTTCTATTTTTACGATAGTTACCTTGGGCACGGAGAAAGTCGATTCCGAACGATTCTGTTCCGTATCCGAGTCTGTGGTTTTCACGAAGCCGATTCCTTCTCTGTTCTGTCCGGCGTTGGATCACCACCG